ATTTTTGCATGTTATCACTGTGCCCGTTTTTTGCTTTTATTCTTTGTTCCGCAAAGTGCGCTCTTTTAGTTTGTAGTGATGTGACAATATATATATCGTCAAATAGAACTGCCCGGTAAACCGTAGGCAGAGAGGGAGAAGAGAACAACAAACGAGGGGCTGTGACAAACTGTTTCGTCGGAGTTTCACCGACTATATATATATAAACTCTGACGAAACAGTTTGTCACAGCCCCTGGTTTGTTGTCCTCTTCTCTCTCTCTGCCTACGGTTTTACCGGGCAGTTCTGTTTGTGACGATATAGAGGGGCTGTGACAAACTGTTTCGTCGGAGTTTCACCGACTCATCAGGAGGCTGATATATATATATATATATAGACTCTGGAGTGTATTTTCTGGTTTCGACAGACCTTTCTTTGTTTCGTGGGTGTTTAGCTCACTTGTGATGGGGTGTGAACCTGCAGTCTCTAGAGTTTTCAGTCTGGTGTGGCCGAGCGATAGTCCGCTTTGACTTTTGTCATTCGTTTTTTTTCAGAAAAAAAGAGAGAATCACTTTCCTTTTTGTTTATAAAGAGAGAATCACTGTCCTTTTTTGTTTATAAATATAAAGAGAGAATCACTTTCCTTTTTGTTTATATAAAGAGCGAATCGCGTCTGGCCACTTGATCTAGATCTGTTTGGCGTAGAGTTTAGTGCTGACCCAAAGCAGATCATCTAGAATTCAGATCTTGGCGGGTATCAATAGCCTGGCAGTCTTTGATATGCTTAATCACAACTAACAGGGGTTAAGGTGGGTTATATTACTTACAGTATCATTTGGTTAAGGGACTCTGGAGACTGTCGAGGGTTCGACCTGCCGATGAGCCGGTGAAACTCCGACGAAACACTCTATGACGTCTTCACATGCCCTCACTCTATGATGTCAATCGCATTCCTCGTTTGCTGTCCTCTTATCCCTCTCTGCCTACAGTTCTACGTTGCCCGAACTGCAATTCGAAAAACTGTATCTTGGCCCATAGTGCAATTTTAAATCATTTTTTGCGACTCCCGCCTAGTTTCCCCTTTTTTGAAATATTTTACCCAAGCTGAGTCTGCAGAGGGTCTTAGTTTGCAGATCTTCATCGGCAGATCTTTGTCTGGTAGTGTGGGGCTCGACCTGAAGATCTTTGTCTGTAGATTGTAGACTGCAGGGGATCTTTTTTTTTAAATATATGTATATATTATATTTTGGGAGGGGAACTATGCGGGGGTCACAAAAA